AAACCGAACGGCCCCTTCGCCGAAGGATTGGCATCTCTCTCTCGAGAATTCGAAGGATTGGTTAAACCAATTGGGTGCGTCCTGTTTTTCAAACAAACCCCCCAAAATGGTGGGTTTCCTTTTGGTTTCCTTTTCTAGGTCCTCCAGATTTGAGAGGTTAGAAGAAGTTGGTACAAACGATTTTTCTGGAAGGTTTATTTTAGTAGGGGCCCCCCCAAAAAAAAGGGCGTGAGAAAGGTTGCACCTAGCTGGGGGACCCAGTCCTAGAACAAAGCATTTGTGGGAGGGCACCTGGAAGGCAATTTTCCTGTTAGGACCAGGCGCCATGTTTGCCGGAGCCAATCTCCCCAGTGGTGACCCCAATTTGTTTCCACTCTTTGGGAAAAGTGCCGGATACTGTCGGATTATGGATCCCAGACCTGAAGCCAGAAAAATTCCACATCTGAAGCCACAAGCTTCGGCCCCTGACAACTGATCTTCCGGGACCATCAGGTCCGAGAATTACATCACAACCTCTGGGTAGAAACTGAATTCAAATGCTAGGTCCTCCAGTAGAGAGGTTAGAATAAGGGTACCCTTTTTTTCTGTAGTCTATTTTAGTAGGAGAACCCTCCCCCAAAAAAAGGTAAAAGGGCACTACTGGGGGACGTAGAATAGTCACCATGCAGTCCGGAGCAAAAATATTCTGCCAAAGCCGGTGTCGATAGCACTTTTTTCTGATTCCACTAGGAAACCCATACAAATTCAATCCTATAGAAGTAATCCGTGGAACAGCCCTCACATATGAAAAAAAACTCGCTTCTGTGATTTTCTGCTGGAAAATGGCCTCCCAATGGTTCCTCCCCAATGTCCGGAGGCTGTCTGGCACTAGGAAAGTGGAAAGTGGGCACCGATCGATGGATTCGCTCCCTGAGAATCACTTGCTGGCGCAAGAGATGCAGGGAAGGAGAAATGGAATGAGCCCGAGATAAACCATGCACTGGAGGGTTCCCTAGGTCCTCCAGATTTGAGAGGATAGAAGAAGGGTACCCGATTTTTTCTGTTGTCTGCTTTAGTAGGGAAACCCTGCCCCCCAAAAAAGGGGTAAAAGGGCACTACTGGCGGACCTAGTTCACGTTAAGGGGACCCCCCAAACGGTTCATTCCCTCATTTTCTGCTGAGCACCAGCAAGACGAACATCTCGATCCAGAGTCCGACAGCGGGGTGTCTCTGGTGGTGAGAGACAATCAAAACACGATATTAAAATGATATTAAAATGGTCGGGGCCCATATAAAGAATTGAAAAGGCATATCCGCACCACCCGAGCTGAACATGGCCCAAATAGGTTATGAACCCCTGGTTTATGGGTCGAAGGGAAGCCAGTCACAACGCGCTAACCCGTTGACATTCTGCGTGGTGGAACGATGCTTCTGCAAGATTCCACAGAGGCTACCACAAAGGGCCCCGACTACACAAAGGCCACATCAAGCATCTATAAGAATGTTCCTCGGGGCATGCCAGGGATACAGTGGATGCCCGAAATATTGCGCAAGCTTGTAATTTGCCGCGATTTACCAAGGCTTGCAATTGGACATGGTTCTTTCGCTTGCAATATAACATCCGGCGTACCTAGAGGCCGGTGGTTGGGCCGAGCAACTGTTTCAACGTCAGTCTGCCCCACTGGTCTAGAAAATCGCAGCGCTGTATCAGGCCACGTCTGTGGCTGTCAGGGTCAGTATGCTAGCCACCCCAAGAAACGCAACATTTGAGGTAAAGCTACAATGTTTGAGCTCCTTCCGAACAAGGACAAGGACACGGTCCACTCTATCTGTACTCTGCCTATTCTCTTCAGAACCAAATTTCAGAGCAAATGGCTGGTGTGCAACCCTTAAATCCGCGACTTGCACGGCGCATCCACTGTTGCGCCGTTGCTCAACTCATGGCTAAGCGCCCTCTGACCACACGCCATCTCAGCCCAGGGGCCACGGTGACAATGTAGTGGTTCGGGATCGGTCCTGACGGACCGCAAACCACTCGCTGCGGAACTCGGGATCGGCATGTACCGAAAACCTCTTTGGACAAACGGGTGGACAAAGAAATGCGAGAAACAGTTGCGCGAGAACATTCAAATGAAGACGTGGGGGTCTGCAAGCTTCGAAAGGATCTCGATCCACGTGTGGCTTCCCCCAAGTGAAAAGATATCGATCCACTTGCGCCTTCCACCAAAGCAAAAGCTTGAAACATGTGGGGTGCGCACGTCGAGCTAGCCAAAAGAGCATTGGTTAAGAGCGTATGGTTTGGGCATTGGCACAATGCGAGGCCTCTCAAATCGGACCAGGCAACTCACTTTCGGTAAGCAGCCATTTATTGACCTTGTAAAAGGGTCGCTGACTTGGTTGCCTGCCATGCAAACACCTGGGAAAGCCTTACAAATAAACTCATCCAAGCAAAACAAACACGGACAAAGCCAGAATGACACACAAACGGGTACAGACTTTTTTCTTGCCAGTGAGTAACCAACGGCTCCCCTTCCATCGCTGGATTCTTCGACGCGCCAACTTGGGCACTCGCCGCGACGAGTCCTCCAGCCACCGTGGAGAACCGCGAGGTCGAGAGACTCGCCTTTCGGGCCGTTTCGGGGGCTGATCGATCTGCACCGAGTCGGGGCACGGGGAAGGGGGGACCTTCAGGTGGGTACACAAACTGAACATAGACTACTGGATATGTCTTTGGTGGGGATCCCTGCATATGTTTGGATATCTTTGGATATCTTTATATACCCAGCACAAGAGCACATGTGAAAGCACTCACACCTCACTCCAAATCTTCGTACTAGTCACCAGTCGTTCAGTAAGGAACTTGTCTATTCCTGCGAATGAATCCAACATTAAGGTTAATGATCCCCTGCAAGATCCTCCAATACTAAATTTTAAGGAGTCATTCCGAGGTATAGTCCTCTTAGATCAGCCATCAACTGCACAGCTTGTGGGGACTTCCACTTGCGTGTTTGGCCCGTCTCAGTCTTGGTTTCACGCTAATCAAGCCATAATCAATGGGTAGTTCACAGAAAACCAAAGGGTGGTATCATGGCTGTGGGTGAGTTTGTCCAGTTGGCATTTGCTCGGTTGGCTGCCCACTTTCTAGCAATGAAAAAAGTGGACAGGAGGCTTTGCAAGAGGACGATCGTCTTCCAAAACCCTCCGCGATTTGCGTCAGAAGCTCAGTGAGCAGTCGCGTTCATGTAGATAAGCCCAAAGCCCAACTTGAACAAGGTGCACTGTCCACGTTTCCGTGGAACCTGACGTTTCAGGGTGGAAGACGATTCTTCAAAGGGACCCTCTGCTGGGTTCCACGTGGAGGGTACTTGCGGGAAGTCCGTGTACCCATGTCATGCCGTTTACCGTGGTTGGAGCAACTCCTGCAGCAGTTGGGATGGATGAAGCCTATGAATTCTGGCCCTGGGATGAATTCGATTTTTCTTGCACCCGCTGGGATGGAATTTTGAGCTTCTGACTACTGGGATTTCTCCACTTGCCAACCGGTGCCTGGCGCAGATGTTGCCCGGCCTCCTGCTCCGTCTCACGGGGGCTTGGATACCTCGAGCGGTTCTTGCTTGGGGCCTGGGGCCTGCGTGCATTTCGAGGCCCAAAAACTCCGCCTTGGGGAGGAAACTCCAAGTATCTAAGGTCGCTGCAACTGCCATGTGAACGACCAAAAGTCAACCCCAAAGCAACCAACATGAGCAGCCGAGCTCTTGGACCAAAACGCAAAACCAACTCGGCCGCGCTCGAAAAGTGGCGACCGCGATCTCGTGCAGAGACTGCAGTGGAAGGACTCGAGGGAGATCATGCCAGAACTGGCCTTTCCGCCCCTCGTGTGGTGGGACACGTCATGGTGGATGCTCATGTTGATGTCTTTGTTCTTCGAGCTGATTGTCTAAATGCCTTGAGTCCAACCGCAACCCCTTGCAAAGTAAACATGTTTATCTTGTCCCACTTGTAACCTTCAGGCAGGTGGCATTTTCGTACATGCTTCTCAACTAGCTGTGCCACCAACCACTTGATTCGATCTTTCGAACAGTGTAATAGTAACTCGGTTGCTTTCTGCTCCCCTGTTAAAAGCTTAACTTTTAGTGGTTTAATGGAAAACCCATCCAAGCAAAATGCACCAAAGGTAATGAGGTGGCGTCCTGTTTTGTTTCCTTTTGGTCTTCCGGCTCAACCCGAGGGTCACCTAAAGTGGACCCAAGCTGGTGACTCACCAAGCAGCACCAAGGGCTTGGAATGCCATCTCGACCCCACAGGAATGATGGGCTCGTGCATCTGTAGGGCTTATGGATTTGGCGTTCAAAAGCCGTAGCACTTCCAGCACCCGATTCCTGGCAAATGGCCCAACAGTAATAGGTGACTTGGACTATTTGCCAGCTGGGGGAGCGTGACACTTATTTTCGTAACGCCATACAAACAGCTGACCCTTCTTTTGGACTGAGCACATTGGGCAACATGGAGTTACGGCAGAGAAGGGGCACCCTCCCATCTAGTCTGGAACCGAGTGCTTGGATTTCTTGCTGCACCGCAGCACCACAGAGTCACGTTCCGGAAAATCGATCGCGGCGACGCGACGCCTTCCACCATGGCTCCCAGTATCCATGACATGCAGAGGACCAATCGGCTTCACACGGACCAACGCTTCTCCGCGCTTCCACCCGAGTGGATGATACGATGGATTCAGCTCCTCGGAAGGAAGTCGGCATCCAACCTTTCTCGCGACCAAAAAAGGCACCGGCTTTCGCCGACTTGCCCACGTTGTTTTTCTTGTGAGCCATACTAACGGAGAACATCCACTTCGGATTTATTGGGACTTGCGGTTTTAGCATCGTATTCAAATCGGGTTTCATCCATCCCGACTGATTCCATTTGCTTTGCTCGCCCCCCGGAAACAGAACATATGTCCAGTAGTGATAGATTCCCTGTAAAACCAACAGGGAAAAATAAAACATACTGTGGATGGACGAAGTCCTGCACCACCTAAGAAGCCATGGGAAACCATGGTTGGTTGGTATTTACAGGGGAATCAACATTCCAGGGTTTCTTAGGTGGTGCAGGATTTCGTCCATCCACAGTATGCTTAAGCAAATGGAAGACTGGCGTGCGGATTCTGTCCATCCACCCGCTGAGCAACTGGCAAATTGGGCTTGTGCCCAGACGAGACCGGCCCGCCCGCCTGAGAAAACACCGCACGAGCAGGGGGCTGGGGTTAGGCAAGGTAACTTTTTTTTTGGGGGGGTGCAACTGGTATACCACTGATACCTCCAAACAACCTATCTGACCGGTTCATGATGCCCATCAACCCATTCGCGGAAGCTTGCTTGCATGGGCAACATGCATATCATGTCACACTGGAAAAGAAGTACGCTCCACACAGTGGCTAAGTACGGGACACACATATGACCTGCACAAGAATTGTGTAAAACACAAAACATCAGCGACAGACTTTGACAGGGCTGGTACATATGTGACTGTGGGCGTTTGTTTCGCTGTTGCTACATTGAATGCTCCAAATGTTGCAAGTAAAGACCAACGCAAACCTTACAGGCTACCGCAATCTACAAGGAGCTTGTGAATGAACGTAGTTGGTCCACTTCCAAGATGCAGGGGAGTTGTACGACTAAATCAAACTTTGATCTGCCGCAATTCACCAGCCTGGGTATATATATATATATATCTTTTTCAGGGGAACCACAAAATAGTTTCGGTGTTCCTTTGGGTTTCTTCTTAAAATCCAACCGAGACAGCACTTAAAGCTTTCCGAAAAGACACACCCCAAGTACGGGATCGATCCTATGAAAGAAAGCCTCATGAGATCGCTACCATTTGCCCATGGCTGTGCTGTTTGTTGGGGGGCATCATGTTTCAGGTCGTTTAAAGGGAAACCAAAAGGAAAACCGAAACCATTTAGGGGGTCCAACCTTCAAAAAGATACACACACACACAAATGTGCCATGCGCAAAACTCAATCTGCGGCCATGTTCATGGTTCCCATTCAAATAACCTTGTGCTGGTTGCTTCCCTTTCCTCACTTCCGATCGACTGGATTGGTCAGAAAAAGTCGAAACTTGCTATTTACCACTAAGATGGTCCAAAGCGAACAAGTGACGAACGCCCGAAACGGAACTCTGGAAGTGAGCTTCCAGTTGGGAAATTTGGGTTCGAATTCCCAACTAATCCCCCAAACCTGGGCAGTCCGTTTTCTGACCCCACCAAAGTGAATCACTTTTAGGGTGTTGAATGGCGTCAACTCCACGAGACACCACTAAAAACCTCAGTGACCGGCGGATTTGTTGGTTCCAAACCGCGATTAGAAACGCGGCTTGATCCTTTGAGGCTTTTTCGCGCCCCAGCCCAAACCCATCAACCTGTTGCGGGTGAACCCCGCGTGCTCCGCCCGAGCGCCGCCTCCATGCGTGCGCGCTCCAGGTTCAGATGCTGCCAGGCCTGGCGACGACTCGAAGGCAGGACGAAAGCCGGGAAGCCGAGTACTTTTTGGGGCTGCCCGTTTTCGGATCCCCCGGCTAAAAGTGACGAACTTTTAGTGGGTCAAATGGAAATCCAACCACTAAACACTAAAAGGCTAAAAAGCTAAGGGGAACCACCGAGCTTTGGAAGCACCGAGCGAGTGGATTGGGCAAACAAGTAACCACACTGCTTCTGATTGCCACTAAAAATGGTCCAAACCCAAACAGTTCAAACGCGCAAGAACGCAGGGAGTGAGTATCCTGGATGACGTCCAAGGCATATAAAAAAAAGTTGGACGTCCAAGGCGTATATTCAGATTCCCTCCAATTGGCTTGGATTGGTGGCTCAGGGGTTATAATAAACCAGCAAATCTAGGCGGTCCTCAATCCCCTGCGAAAAGTTGAACACTTTGGTGGGTTAAGTGGAAATCCAACCACTAAGCCAACTAAAAGCTAAAAACCTAAGGAACCGAACGGCCAGCAACTTCCTGAGTGCATTGAGCAAGGAAAGTGTAAGCTTATTGATTACCACTAAAATTGCATTACCCAGACGCTCCTGGCTTCGGCTTGCAATGGAAGACCCAGACCCTCCATTGGACACTCCAGAGGGGTTTTGGGGTCTCAAAACCTGGATGTTTGAGGGCCCAAAGTCAATCGGGAGCCTCTGGGTACCAAAAAAGTTTATAAACGTCCAGGAATTCAGGGAGCGAGTATCTGGGATGACGTCCAAGACATGAAAAGGTGCTTTCCTTTCGGCTCCATCACATCCTTGGCTTCGCTTTTGCCCTTCCGTTTTTCAGAGTCAAGTTGACGCCACAAGAAAACCAGGTTCATCGCAAAATCCAAGTTTGGGAGACACCCACATAAGCCCGCAGGAGTTTCCAAACAAAAGCAAGCAATCACATGGCAATGAGGTCCCCTGCGTTTTACCAACTCCACAATCCCGCACGCAACTGGAGACTAGAGCTGGACAATGCCTTGGCTGAGCGTGATTTCTGAACCCAGCCAGCCCATAGTTTCCGATACTCATATGGGCCACCACACCATCGAGGTACCTCCAACAGCGACCAGATGCGACCAGCATCAAGATATGACACTCCCCATCACCTCGCCGTTTTTTGGGGGATGCAAACTGCCCATGGGGTGCCCAGACGCTCCTGGCTTCGGCTTCGAATGGAAGACAAAGCCCCTCCATGGGACACCCCAGAGGGGTTTTGGGGTTTCAAGGCCCAAACTCCATCGGGGGCGTCTGGGTCGTCAAAAATCTAGGGGTTGATTCCCCGTTCTTTTCAGCCCTCGTTCTTTTCAAAAACCGATCGCCAAGTCCGCAGGGTTTGCGCTGGTTTTCTAGAAAGATTCGGATCGGGTCAGAATGGAATTGGAAGGTGCCCCTAGATTGACTCTGTTGCATGTTGCTTGGATGTTAGGACTTCAACTTTTTGGCCAACTGATGGGTTTTCCGTATTAAACCACTAAAAGTTCGTCACTACTGGAAGGTGCCGAAAAGAAAAACGGTGGAGCCCAGTGCGTGAAACGCCGAGAACGACCGCTGCCGGCGCCTCCTCGAGGCGTTGCCTCTCCCGAGCCAGGGCCTAAGTCAGCGACTCCCGTGCGTCCCCAGTCGGGTGGCTCGTCTTTCTTTGGTCGTGTTAAAGGGAAACCAAAAGGAAAACCGACATTCTGGAAGTTGTCTTTCCTTTGGCGGTACCCCTGTTTTGGGTTGTGTTACAGGAAGACGAAAGGAAAATCCGTCCGCCTTTTTGGAGTTCACACCCAGCTTTTGCTTGATGTGTTTCCTCGTGTTGCTTTTGTTTCCGCTTGCTCTTGTTGTTCAGGTTGTTAGGCAGGATGCAAACATATGGTCGGTTGGTCAAGAAATTGGTTTCCCATGCTATATGTTGATCTGTCTAAAGTAGCATCTTGGTTAACGTCATGAGTTTGTCTTTTCAAAGACGTTGGTTCACATGCTGGAGGTCATTTAAGGTCACTCTCGCAACAAGTTGTCCGTTCTGAGATTGGTCATGCAACCGCGTGCCTGCAGGAAAGCTTCTGACTTCATCGCGAAACCCTTGGTGCCAGAACATGAGATCCGGACTTCGCTTGTGAACATCAGGTTCCGGGATCGAACTGTGGGTTCCTGACGTGTGCGGCCAAAGCTCCTTATGTTCAGGGATCCAGGTCTTGAGACCCCAAAACCCCGCCGTGTCCATTGGGTTCTTCGAGTCTTCCATTGGAAGCCGAAGCCGATCGGAGCGTCGTGGTCAAAACCTGGAGCCTTGCCAACGTTGCCCTAAGTTCCCTGTCAGGGGCCCTTATTACCCCCGGAGGTGGGCCCAAAATCCATCGGGAGCCTCTGGGTAGTCAAGGAAGTGCGGGATCCATCTTGGCCCGGAATCGCACCTTTGACCCGGCGGGTTTCTGAACAATCGAGACACACAAGACATTGTTTTGGTGGTTGTCCTTCGCGAAATGGATTTTATGGGATGGTCCATTGGGTGCCCACAATCTCTGTTCAGTCTTGCACCAGCTACCCTTTTCTTGGTGCTTGGGTGCTTCAAAAGGGATCTCATTGTTATATGGAAGGTTAAGGCAAAAAGGCATCTGCCGATGAACCGGCAAACATATCAACAACTCTTGAAAGCAAATCATGCCAACAAACATCCCCTTAAACAAGAACAAAAAGCAGCCCAAACACACAAAAACAACAAAAACAAGCCCCTTAAAAAAAAAAAGGCAGCACAAAAGCAACACACACACACACAAACACCCTTAAAACCAACAAAAACACGACCCTCGGTCAAGGACAGCGACAAGAATTCCCGCATCTCGGCCTTCGCTCGGCCTTTCGCTCGGGCGAATCGGCGAATCGGCAAATCGGGCGGCCCGGGCAGTGGACTCCTCCAGAATCTGCTGCCGCTCCCGCGCTGCCTCGCGACTCGCGCGAAACGCCACGGGAGTTCCCCCAAGGCGGCGGCAGAAAAGACTCGCAGGTGCCAGGGGTACCTTCCATTTCCATTCTTTCCAGGGTGGTTTCCTTTTGGTTTCCTGTTTAGCCCACTTCAAACAGGGTGCTGTTGACCCCATATTAAAGTTTATTAGTAGGGTTCCCTGGGTTTAGTGGGGAATCAAACCACTTTTGGAATGAAACACCGGCCTATGAATAATCTGGGGTTGATGACCACTGTGGATGGACGAAATCCATTTTGCACCACGAACTGAAACCATGGTTGAAACCACAACGTTTGTTGGTATTTGCAGGGGGAGTCGAATCAGAAAATAGGGTTCCTTAGGTGGTGCAGGATTTCGCAACCATCCACAGTATCGCTCCACGAAAACTGGTGGTTTGCTCTAAAATTGAAACTTACTGCTTACAGGTGGTTGGATCAAAGTTGCTGTTTACTGGTGGTTTCCAAACAACCTGGTGCTTGGATCCAGCTGAAACGGCTGGATGGACCCTAAAACACGAGTGGATCAACTCGCCCCCCACCCCCCCACCCCCTCTCGTG